GTTGGGTCACCCTTCTTTGGAATGGGAACAAATATAGATCTCTTCCAGTCAGTTGGCCAAGTGGTTGTTCTCCAGATTTCTTGGCACAACTTGGCCATTAAGATTACAGCCACAGAAATTCTCTGGGGCAGTTCTACTCTGTTCTACAGAGTTGGAGTCAACTTGATGGCACACCACAATATGTATGCTAAGAAGTCTTGGTGATGCAATGATTAAGTACTTGCTCGGTGGCTAATTGAAAGTGTGACTGTTCGGGCCCATGCACTGCTCCAGAGAAGAAAGGCCTGGCAATCTGCTCTCCTGATTCCAGCCTAGAAAACCCAATGGGGATGCTCGCCCCTGCCTCATGGAGTGGCTGTGAGTTGAAATCGGTTTGGCAGCGCATGGATATGAACTGATCTGTGAATTCATTGCAGATTCACTGGGTGCCTGATGCGTAGGGTGGATCTCCAGCCTCTCCCAAGTCCCCCATTTTCTTGCAGGGCATCTTCTGTACCATATTGCTCAAAGCAGAAGCCTTGAGTCACTCGGGATGCTTCTCTTTTCCCTTCTAGCTTTCTGCATCAGCAGGACAAAGACCTGTCAGTTTTGACTCCAAGATACATTCCAGGTTCATCCCATCCACTCCACGTTACAGCCTCAGGAAAAGTCACGTACCATCTCACTGCCAACTGCTGGCATCCCTGCCTCTGTCCTTCCTCCTCCAGTCCCTCCTCTAGGCAGCCACTAGAATGAACTTTTAAAGGCCATGGTTCATTCATAGTGGCCTCCTGTTAAAGAGCCTAAATAGCACAACAGTGAAGCGTTTGGCTGTCAGGCAAAAGGCTGATGGTTCAAACCCACCCAGCAGCTCTGCTGGAGAAACACCCTGGAGATCTGTTCCTGTAAAGATGACCTCCTAGCAGACCCCCTGGGGCTGTTCTCCTCTGTTGCACGGAGTGTCTGTGAGGTGACAATGATTCAGCAGCACCCAGCCACAACAATAACTATTTAATAACCCACATTTGTTCAGATTATTGGGAGGGCTTTTTAAATAGTATTTTTCTTCATTCATGTGTCCTTTTACCACAGAATTGCTATTTTGCTTCCTCCTCTTTTTTTGGAAACCTTGATGGTCTTAATCTTTTAGATAAATGCTGCTTTCCTAAACCAATCGTTTCTTCCCCTATAATTTTCCTTTTTTGCTTACCAAATATGTTGGGTTTCATTTCCGATTTTTCTTCTCACTCAGTAACATTCCCTAGCTCTCCTTTTGTGATTGGGTATTCCTTGTGGATGAGATGGATTGACACAGTGACTGGGGCCCTGAGGGAAGATGTATCAGAGATAGTGAGATTGCCTCACGATCGAGCAGGGTTCAGAGCTATTGTGTGAAGGGTTGCTATGAGTTGCAGACGACTTGATGGCCCATAACAACAACATGTAGTTTTGAAAGAGTCCTGGTGGTGTACTGATCAAGCACCTGGGTGCGAACCAAAAAGGTTGAAGGTTCAAACCCTCGTAGCAGCTTCAGAAAAGAAATGCCTTGTGGTCTGCTCCTGTAAAGATTCCGACATTGAAATCCTTGTGGGGCAGTTCTCCTGTCATATGGGTGACAACAGCAAAGCTCTCTGTGTAAGTTAGCCCTGTAGGTCTCTATCTCCCCAGTGCACCATCCTGTGGACCATGAGGCCCTGCCTTTCGAACCTCACCCCTTCCCTGCTCTCCTGACTGTGTAAGCTCACCTGGGTGCCTTTCTGTTCTTTAAATGAAACCAAACCCATTGCCATTGAGTTGATCACAACTCATAGGGATTCTTTGGACAGATTAGACCTGGCCCGTAGGACTTCCAAGTCCACAGCAGACTGCCTCATCTTTTCCCATTCCTCAGACCACAAAACCAAAATCCACTACTGCTGTTGGGTTAATCCTGACTCATGACAACCCTCCATCAGGTTTCCAAGGCTGCACATCTTAATGGGAACAGACTGCCTCATCTTCTGTGAAGCAGTTTAATTTGAAGTGCTAACCTTTTAATTTGAGCTCTGATGGCATAGTGGCAAGAAGCTACACTGCAGTCCTGAAGGCACCTGGTTCAAGGCCACCAGCTGTTCCATGGGAAAAGGACGGGCAGTCTCCTCCACTGTGATTAACTGCCTCTGAAAACCTCCTGGAGGGTCAGCTATGGATTGGTTCTGACTCAACAGTACACAGCCACCTTCTAGTTAGCAGGCCGACACGAAACCTCTGTGCCCCTGGAGTGCTTCTTGCTCCCTCAGAGTGGCTGGTAGGTTTGAACTGCCATCCTTTCGGTTAGCAGCCCGATACGTAACACACTACGCCACCAGGGCTCCGTACCTGATGGGAAGTCCTAGTGAGGTGTACATGCAGACTCAGCCTGGAGCACCCAGAGTCCTCGAAGGGGACTTCCCAGGGTCCCCCGAGCGGGACTGTGCCAGCTGGGTTTGAAATGATCTACCACCTTCCAAAGGTACCCTAGTGGCACAGGGATTAAACACTCAACTCCTAACCAAAAGGTTGGCAAGAACAACCTTCTTCACGACATAAAGATGCACCTCATATTTCATCTCACATATTAGAAGTTGGACTGCTAATCAGGTTAACAAATCCACTAATTTCTAGAAAACACAGAGAGAGAGAGAGAGAGAGAGAGAGAGCGCAAGTTTGCAGTCCAGGAAGCTATCATTAAAATAGAAGTATTATTAGACAAAGAATATTGGATCTAAGGCTCCTCTGCCAGGGATGGATTAGGAGTCAGCATTTGTCGCACATGCGCAGTTCTGGATGCTTGTGGTTCGTGGACACGTGGAGCGTCTTCGCTCTCAGGGAAGGAACTCTGACCTTCCAGAAAGCAGGTTTTCAGCAGCTGTAGATCACAGGAGGAGATTGCCCATCTTTCTCCCACGGGGCAGCTGATGGATTAGAACTGCTTGCCTTTGGGTTTTGTTGGCAACAGCACTCCTTCCCCACTAGGCCACCAGAGCTCTCTAGGATTGGACTGTTGTTTGTTGTGTACCATCGAGTCAGAACTGACCCTCCAGTGGATCTTTAGAGGTAGAAAATCACACAGGAGGAGATTGCTCGTCTTTCTCCTGTGAAGCAGAAGTGGATTCCAACTGCAGACCTTTAGATTGGCAGCACAGTTCCTTTCCATTATACTGGGATACAGAGGCTCAAAGCTCGCAGCCACTATGTGGGCAAAAGATGAGGCCGTCTGCTACCATAAAGATTTTGGCCTCGAGAGCCCGGTGGGACAGCTCTGCTCTGCGTGACCTCCATGGTAGTGGGTGGGTTTGGATACCTAGTTTATCAGCCCAGCCCTGCTGAGGTTAAACCTGCCCAGCCTGCGTGCTCACAGCCTGTCCCTCACCCACAGCCTTCAACACAGCGCGATGTGAGAAACTACAAAAGGAGAAAGAGGAGCTGGAGAAGCGCTTCGAGGAGGAGGTCCGGCGGCTGCGCTGGCAGCAGCAGGCCGAGCTGCAGGCCCTGGAGGACCGTCTGCAGCTGCAATTCGAGGCAGAGGTTGGCCGCCTGCAGGAGGAACACCAGGGCCAGCTACTGAGGATCCGGTGTCAGCACGAGGAGCAGGTCAGTCCATAGGCCCCCGTAGGCCCCGCTGTCTCAGCTTGCAGAGCTACCACCAGAGGGAACGGGCTGTGGGTGGCGCAGGTGAAGGGAGCTGCAGGTGAAAGGACCAGGCCACGTTAGCAAGAAGCCCCTGTTCCTGTTGTCCAGGTGAGTTTTCTTGAATGTCCACTCACCACTCACATTCCTTCCTCCTCTTCCCCTCATTCCTCTGGCCACCCAGAGCCCCACTGCTCTTCCTAGAAAGGGCCAGGAATGCCCTCCCTCCAGACACTGCATGGCTTCCTCTCTCCCTCACTCCTTTCCCCACAAAACTTCCCTCCAGGATCACCTTCTCAATAAAGCTGGCCTTTTCCTTTTTATTCCTGTTTCATCATTTATTTACTTGTGTTTGTTGAGCACACAGCAAAGCATGCACCAGTTCAGCCATTTCTTCATGGACAGTTCAGTGATGTTGACTACATTCTTCAGTTGTTTGACCATTTTCCTTTTCTGAGTTATTCCTCCTCTGTTAACATAAACTCACTGCCCACTAAGGTTCCTGTCTACTCTTGAGTTTCTCTTGTCACTTAATTCCACGTAGAACCAACTCATGGCAGTTAAGTTTAAAATATTCGTGATGTTTAATCCCCCATTCAAGCTATTGTTTTGTGTATAAAGAGCTCTGATGCACGGTGGTTAAAAAAAAATCTAGTTGCTAGTTAAAATAACCTAGCTGTCAATCAGAAGGTCTGTGGTTCACACCCACCAGCCACTTCTTAGGACAATCTGCTCCTGTAAAGACTTACTGCCTCAGAAATCCCATGGGCAGTTTATTTTGTTCAACAAGGTTGTTGTGAATCCGAATCAGTTTGATGGCAGTGGACTTAGGTTTTGATTTATTTTTTTGGGTGTTGGGTTTAAGAAGACTTCAGGAGATATTTTTGGTTTAAGGTTTAAAGATTTTTATCAGGGTTTAAAGATTTTTTTTTTCACCAGTGGTTCGTGTACCCTCCATGGCACCAGAAAATCTGGATTCCATTAAAATTTTAAATTCTGTTCTATATTCCCCCCTCCTTTTGATCAAAATTCTTCTATAGACTATTCAAAACATTTAGTAGTGTTACTTAAGCACCGTCCTCTTCTAATCTCACGGCAAAGGACGCAGTTGTTCATGGAGACTAGTCACACATTCCATGCCCTCCTTCTGTTCCTGACTCTCCTCCTTCCTTTGTTGCTGTAGCTGAATACTGTGGGGTTTTTCTTTTTCCAAGATGCCTCCCTGCACCGCCTAGTCACTTTAGGTAAGGCTAACAGTTCATTTGCTCACTGATAATTGAAAGGTTAGCAGTTCAAGTTCATCCAGAAGTGTCTTGAGAGAAAGGCCTGGTCACCTACTTTGACACGTTAGCCACTGAAAACCTTATGGAGCACAATTCTACTCTTGTATGCATGGGGTCACCATAGGCAAGAATGAGTCCACAATTTGTTTTGTGTTCAAAAGGGGGTTGGTATTTATCACTATTGTACCTTAGCTCTCCTGTCTATTGTCTATGTGCTATGAGAGTTGAGTTGTTGCTGTTGAATGCTGTCAAGTTGACTTTAACTCAGAGAGCTCCACTTGGCAGGTCTCGTGGGTTTTTCTACTGTTTATAGGAACAGTTTGCCAGATCTTTCTTTCAAAGGGTTGCTGTTTGGTTTGAACTGCCAATCTTTCGATTAGCAGCCAAGCATTTAATCATTGCACTACGCGAGCTCCTCTTATAGACTACATACCTAGGCTATATTGTTGCTGAATCGAGCTTTGGGGTTCTCCAGTGGATCTTGACTTAGTGCTGAATGGGCCTTCATTATCGTGAATATTTGGACATGATTGTGGATAGATGCCCCAGATGGCAGTGTCTCTGAGTCTTGTGAATCACAGGGACCCAGGAGAAAGTGCAGAGAAATAAAAAGTACTGCTGTTAAAATAGGGAGCCCTGGTGGCAAAGCATCCGAGCATCCAGCTGCTAATCTAAAGGTCAGCGGTTCTGCTCCCTCCCCTCCCAGAGCTCCATGGGAGACTGATATGGCCGATTGTTTCCATAAAGGTTACAGCCTGAGAAACCCCAGGGGCAATTCTGGTCTGGGCCACAGGGGGTTATCGGGGGGTCGTCCTACATTGGAATTGACTTGATAGTGCTCTGTTTGCTTGCTTGGTTGTTTTGGTTTTGCTGTTGTAAAAAAAATCTCATCTGTTGCATCACTTTATGATTTACGGACATATGTTTGTCATCTCGGGGTCGTCTTCTTCCGCCTTTCTGAGAGGGCTGCGAAAAGTAGACAGCACTGTGTGCTGGAGGTGGTTGATGTTAGAAACAGGGAAACATGAGACAGGTACAGCTCACGTTACAGAGATGGGACATTGAGCCGCAGAGCTGGCCTCCCACGCTCCCTGCGAGCGTCCCTGAGAAGGAGCTGGCTCCTTGCCACTGCTGACACGCTCACCTGTTTACTTCATGGCTCCTGGTGGGTTACGTATTGGACTGCTAACTTAAAGTTGACAATTCAAATACACCACCTTTCTTGGGGAGAAAGCTGAGGGCTTTTGCTCCTGTTAGGATATAGCCTAGGATATTGGGTGAAGGGTCACTGTAAGTTTAAATTGGCTAGTTGACAGTAGGTTTGGTTTAGTTTTTGAGTTCATATCTCCAGGATCCCTGGTGGTGCAGTGATTAAACACCCAGCTACTAACCAAAAGGAAGGTCATTGGTTCAAACCCACCAGCCACTCTGCAGGAGAGAAATGAGACTATCAGCTTTCCATAAAGATTAAACTAAAAAATTCTCACTGTCATCAAGTAGATTCCAACTCAGATCAACCCTCCATTGTAAATATTAATGGGAAGAGATAGACCATCTTCTCCCAAGAGCAGCTGATGGATTTGAACCCCTGGAATTCTAAAATCTTTGGGTTAGCAGCCTAGCACAATACAGACTGCACCACCAGCTCTTCTGTTCTGTAGGGCCACTGTGAGTTCAACTACTCAAGGGCAGTGGGTTTGATTTGTTTATTTTATGTGTACATTTCTATATACACGTGTACACACACACATACATATACGCTGTGGCAGCAGAGTGGTTAAGCTGTCATCCGAGAGGACTGCAGCGGGAACCTAACCGGGGTTCTGTAGGACAAAGATGAAGATGACCCTATAAAAACCCTACAGGGCTGTTCTGCTCTATCCTAGAGGGTCACTGTGAGTCACAGTCAACTCGATGCCGGTGGTTTGGTTTGTGTGTTGTATCTATATGTCATATTAATTAATCCTGATCATGTCACATTGAGACAGGAACACACTGGTGATTTAATTACAGGCAATTGTAGATCGTGTGCAGCAGGGAAGGTTCCATTTCCACAGTCCTCCCAGGCTCAGAAGCTGCACTGAGAGGATGGAGAGCATCTATGGGTGTCCAGTGGCTGCCCCGTGGGTGAATGACTTCAGGATCTTCCTCCGATGCCTCGTCTTATTTCCGGGGGTTGTTTGCACAGCTACACTGCTCATTTTCCTGTCTGATCAATGGGGTTAGTCAGATGCGGGGACACTAGCCTGGAATTGTTGGCCAGGAATTGTGTGTGCGTAGACCTCCTGTTGATTTAGGCAAGAACAAACAAATCTGATGTGGAGGAAGTGCAGTCAGAGAGTTAGTTCCTTGGAGGCTAAGATGGTGACACTCTCTCTCACATACTCTGGGCATGTTGTCAGGAGGGGCCTGCCCTTGGAGAAAGATAGCATGCTGAGAAAGGTAGAGGTCAGAGGAAGAGAAGAAGACCCTCAACATGACAGATGGACACAGTGACTGTCACAGCGGGCTAGAATACGTCAGAGGTCGTGAGGACGGCACAGGACAGGGCAAGGTTAAGAGGGTCTGCTCGAGGTTCTGTGGGTCCGAGGGTCGCTTTGCTAAATGAGTCACAGTCAGTGTAACGGCACCTAATGACACCAATAACATCAGTGCATGGTGAGTCGGCTGCCAACCAAAACATTATCGGTTCAAAACTACCATCCAGCCCAGGAGAGGAAGGTCAGCCGTCTCCACCCACAAAGGTATGCAGCCGCAGGGAGCCCAGAACAGAGTGTTTGGATTTTATATTATTGGACTTCAAGGGGCCTTGATTGCACTGTGGGTTAAATGTTGATACGTTAGCCAGAAGACTGACAAGTCTAGCCCATCAGTCCTTCTGCAAGAGAAGGATGAGGCAGTCTGTGAAAAGATGTGCAGCCCAGAAACCCAGTGGGTTTTAGAATGTCTTGCAATGTCACCAGGAGTCAGAAATGACTGGAGAGCAGTGGGTATTAAGCTTCAGAGGGGACAGTGCACAGGCTTGTGCATTGAAGCCCAGAGATGCTGGCGGGTGAGGGTAGGAGGGTGTCGGAGAGAAGTTAGAGCCATCTGGAGCAACTGAGGGCCCGCTGCCTCCTCTCAGCTACGTGTGTACCTTCAGAAAGGGCTCCTTCCAGGAAATGCTCCACGTTCTGTCTTTCTGGCTAACGTGAGTTATCTGTTCCCTTTTCATTCACCTATGCAGGGTACGCTGTGACCAGCAGGGCCAAACCCACCACCATCAGGTCCATTCTAACTCATAGCCAGCTGCCCCCAGTGTTTCCAAGGCTGTTGTCTCTGTGGGAGCTGATAGACTCATCCTTCTCCTGCACAGTGACTAACAGGGTCCAGTCACCAAACATTTTGTTAGCAAACAAGTGTTTTTACCACAGTGACACCAGGGCTTCTAAGAGATGCTGGAAAACCAACCCAAATTCACTGTCGTCGACTCCATCTTTCATTGAGTTGATTCTGACGCACCACAACCTGCCATTGGATTTCTGAGGCTGTAAATCTTAAGAAGAGATGGCTTCTTCTTTCTCCTTCAGAGCAACTAGTGTATTTGAACTGCTAACTTTTCAGTTCACAGCCTAACACTTAAATTACTACACCATCAGGACACCATTAAGTGATGTCTTGGTGTTTGACTACATGCCTACTTTGTCCATCAGTAGCCTCAGTCCTGGGTCAGGGGAAATCCTAAGACAAGGACCAAAGAACCTTGATTCTGGATGAGACATGAGGCCCAAGGTTATGTTTTCAAGGACAAGGGAGTACAGCAGCCCAGCAGTGGACTATGGGGGTCCCATCTAGGATTCTAGGGTGTCTGGAAGGAGTTTCACCCTCACACATTTGCCACCAGCAGGTCTAACGCCTCTGTCCCTTCTTTGGTGACCCACAGTACACCGGACAGCCTCCCCTTCCTTTCAGGACAAGTTGTCCAAATCCTATCACCTGCCATCAGAGTGTCTCAAGTCCCCTTGGCTGAGAGCTCTTGTTGGGTACCATAGAGACGATTCTGACCCCCTGTGATGGAACAGAACCACCCAGAGGGTTTCCCAGGCTGCCTAGTTTTGTGGAAGCAGGTCACCATGTCTTTCTTCCACAAGCCACTAGACAAGTTTGAACCGCCAACTTTTTTATTAGCAGCTAAGCACTCACTCATTGCACCACCAGGGAATTGTTTGAAAACATCCAAGCCAGCTTACCACTGAGTCACTTCCCACTCACAGCAGCCCCGGGGGGGAGGGTAGCATGGGCATAGGGTCTCCACGCCGCCATTGCTACAGAAGCTGACATCCCATGACCTCAGTGGGTTTGAACCATGACCGGCCCAGCGCTCACCAACTGCATCACCAAAGCTCCTCAGGGAGCTCTTAAAAACAAACAAAGTCACTGTTGGTGAGCCAGTCCTGCTCCTCGCAGTCCACAGGACAGAGCAAACGGCCCTGTGGGGTTTCTGAGGAGGTAGTATTGACAAAAGCAGACTGCCTCATCCTGCTCCACTGCTGGGTTTGAACCACCAGCCTCTTGTTTGGCCTCCAAATTCTTTAACCACCATCACAAGGCCTTTTTTTTTCAGAGTTGAGGGTTTATTTCGCCCATAAAAGAGTTTCTGACAAGTGGGGGGAGGGGTGCGCACGCACACACACGTGTCATGGGTTCAGCACTAACTTGTGACGACCGCGTGTGTGCCATAGCAGAAGTGCTATCCTCAGAACTGGCTTCTCAGTGACAGATTTTTCAGAAGTAGATCACCAGACCTTTCTTCCAAGCACCTCTGGGTGAATCTGAACCTCCAGCCTTTCCGTTTTAGCCAAGCACTTGACTGTTTGTGCCCATTCTCTGTGCTGCCCCTCCCTCCCCGGCCCCTGAGTAACAGCCACTGCCGCTCCCTTTCAGGTGGAAGACATCACCGCTAGCCATGAGGCAGCCCTCCTAGAGATGGAGAACAACCACACGGTGGCCATTGCAATCCTGCAGGATGACCATGACCACAAAGTCCAAGGTAAGCCCCCACCCCAGCCCAGTGCAGGTGGCAGGCAGGGCCGTGACCCAAGATGCACGTGCAGAAGCCACAGTACTGTCCCGGGTCCCCACGGTCCTCCTCTCTTGCCTCTGCCCCTTTATTCTTTCCTTCCCTTCCGCCTGCGTCTTCTGCATTGGTTCCTATAAAAACCCATCACTGTCCAGTGGTTCTGACCTGCAGGGTCCTCACAGGACAAAGTAGAACTGCCCTACACGGTCAATCTTTATGAGACCAGACTGCCTCATCTTACTCCCATCAGAGACCTTCTGGTTAGCAGTGCAGCACCTTAAACACTGTGTCACCAGGACTCTGGATTCAGGATCTGAAAACAACCAAGCCCGCTTTGAGTGGATCCCAACTCTGCAAGTCTATGCACAGAGCAGAACTGCGCACAGGGGTTCCCAAGGCCGTCAGTCTTTCATCCCGCTCCCACGAAGATTTGATCGGCTGATTCTTTAGTTGACATCCCAATGCGAAAACCACTGAGCCACCAGGGCTCTTTGCCACAGGCCCCGTTCATAGACCATGTCCATGGTGGGCTGAAATGGAGTTTCAACGTCTCCTTAAAAGCAATTTTTACAACGTTGAATTCTTTTCAATGCTTAAGGGGTTTCATGCAGGTAATGACAGTAAGTACAATGTTCACTAAGCATTAATAAGATTTTAGGGAGTTCTGGTGGCCTAGTGGTAAGAAGCTGTGATGCAATCCCAAAAGCATGCAGTTTGAGTTGACCATCTGCTCCCCAGGAGAAAGATGGGTAACCTTCTCCCATGCAATTTACTGCCTCTGGAAACCCACTGGAGGGTTAGCTGTGAGTCAGTTCTGACTCAATAATAACAAACAACAACAATAAGATTTTAAGGACCCCTTCCATCAGGTGGTTAAACACTCAGATGCTACTTGAATTGTTGGCAGTTTGAACCCACATGATAAAGTGTGTTATGTGTTTGGCGGTTAATTGAAAGCTCAGCAGTTTGAATCCACCAGCTGCTCCAGAGGAGAAGGGCAGTCTCCTCCTGCAAAGATTTGCAGCTTCAGAAACCCGGTGGAGGGTTACCAGGAGTTGGAATCGACTTCACAGCAGTGGTTTTGGGAGCTTAAGAATACAGGAGCCCTAGTGGCTTAGTGTTTTGAGAATGGGGCTGCTAAATGCATGGTAACTGTTTGAATCCACCAGCTGGCTGCTCTGTAGGAGAAAGATGAGGCAGTCTGCTTCTGTAAAGATTTACAACCTTAGAAAGAAGCCCTCCAAGGTTACCGTGAGTCAGAATCCAATCAGGACAGTGGGTTTGGTCTGATGTTAAAGTACAGTCATTGAGTGGCAAGAAGCTGCACTGCAATCCCACAGGTACGCAGTTCAAATCCACCAGATGCTCTGCTGGAGAAGGAAGGGCAATCTCCTCCTATACTGGACAGATCCAATTTGACGGTACACACACAAAATAATAAAATAAATTAAAAAAAAGAAGTACAGTCATTTAGTGCTCAGCAGAGTGTCAAGAATCCCAAATAAAGAACTTTATGATGGGCCTATAGGTCTCAGGAAAGGTATGTCCTCTTGCCAGATGCGACGTTGACTTTCATTTTCCATTGAGTTGTTGGAGTCATTTGGAATTTCCCTACAGCCCATCATTGCAATGTAGGAAGTAACTTCCAGAAATGGACTATGAACGGATATGATGTCAGGAACCCTGATATTGTCCTTGATTCTCACATAAATAATAGACCGTTCTAACTAAGGAAGTCTAAGTGTAGACAGAGGCCACCACAAACATGTCAAGATGATGTCAGCCTGTGTAGACATGGCCTAAAAACTGTATTATTATGATTGAGATGATGCTCTGTCACTGTGCAAACCCATCCCTTGGGGAAAAGCCATGTTGTTTTAGATCAGTCAAGTTAAAACTGAACCTTTTTGTCCAAATGAGCTGTTTTTACAGAAATAACACTGCACGTTCTATGCTTGTTTCAACTGCGTCACTCCATTGTGTGTTGGTTTTTGATGTGCAATATCCATGCCATATGCAGAAATACAGTAAGTTTCAGTGACTCCAACTGGATTTCTTGGAGACTTTGTCCACTGTTCGTTAAAACATTTGGGTCTGTGTAAACCAGCATTTTCTGGCTGCAGCCCCTGCCAGTCAGGGAGGGAGTTGGGGGCTCCAATACTCTCCAGCGCTGAGCTGTGATCCCGGCTGATTAATGAGACCTTTCCTCCTTCCAGTTATAAATGTGAAAACAAATTGCTTGTGTAGCGAGAACGAGATGGGCTGCAGCCGGCTAATAAGCTGCTTCCCATCTGGAGGAAAATGAGCCCTCTGTGCTTAATAACTCTTCTCTGACAACCCTGTCTGCCTGACTTGCAGACTATTGCAGGGTGACTCTGGAGCAGCATCGCTGTCAAGCATCCAGGAGGGAGCCGTCCAATTAGGCCTTCCTTCTGCCGGAATCTGCCCAGGAAGCCTTCGCTCCAGCAAGCCCTGGGTGGGGCAGTCTTCATAGCAACCCAGAAACCACCAGGGTGTCCCTGATGCCACAGTGCTGGCCTCCTCTCACGCCCTTCTGTGGCAGGCTCAGGGTGGCGGCTCCCCACTAGTGGGCAGCTCCCTCCTCGGCCCCAGCCTGGGTGGTGAATTCTTGGAGGGGAACAAGAGTGAGGCTGGCAGAGGGAGGAGCAGCCAGGTCTGCGTGGTGGTGGTGAAGCAGGGAGTGGACGTGCGTGTGCAAGTGCACACGAGTGTGAATGTGTGCACAGGTGATTCTCTGAGAGTGTGTGCACGAGTGAATGTGTGAGAGGTTGAGTGTGTACACACCTGTGACTGAGTGTGTGTATGAATGTGTGTCTGTAAGAGTGTGTGTGTGCATGAGTATGTGAGAGATTATGTTATAAGTGTGGTAATGCCTGTGACAGAGTGTGTGAGTGTGTGTGTGAGGGTATATTGTGGGTGTGTGTATGTCTGTGAATGAGTGGGTCTGAGTAAATGTGTATATGAATGTGTGTGACTGTGTTTGGGTGCGTGTAAATGAGTGTGCCACACGCCCCCATTTCCCTTCCACCTGATATCTCTTCTACTTTTTCACCCCCCATTTACCTTCCCTCTCTCCTGCACTCTCTTCCAAATAACAACTGGTCTTCACATAATATTTCAGGTCAGTGGAGGCATTTGAGCTCAAAGCTCCCATGCCCTCAAGTGGTGACTCATTTAGCCACCGTCCCTAGGCTTCGTGTGACTACATTCTTGTCCTATCCTTTTCAAAAGAAGGACCAACTTAACAATTTGTTGTCTCCTTTCCAGAACTGATGTCGACTCACGAGCTTGAAAAGAAGGAGTTGGAAGAAAATTTTGAAAAACTGCGGCTGTCGTTACAGGTTCCTACTTCCTTAACTCCGGTGTTAACATAGCAGCCTGTGTGCTGGCTGCCCTGACAATGCTGGGGTTGCTTTGGGTTTGTCCCTGAGGAGGCGCTTCCCGGGATGTTAGGACAGATCTGTGCCCAAGGATAGAAACCAAAAGCATAGCAGGACTGTTTTCATAAGCATGAGGGTTTCCCAGGCTGGGCATTATGGGATGCTATAATCTCTAGAGTTTGGGAGTCTGGTGGCATAGTCTGTACAGCACCTCCTCTCTGCTAGTGTGAATCCACAGGGGAAAGATGGGCTGTCTCCTCCCATCAGGCTACAGCCTCAAAACCTGTTGGAGGGTCAGCAGTGAGTCGGCTCCAATTCGACAGCGATGAGCTTTGGGTTTTCATGCTGTTGGGTGGCATTGCGCAGGGCCGGCTCATCATGATCCTTTGTGAGCCGGGAAGGCTCTTATCTCTATGGAAGTAAAGCACTTGCCTTTCTTTCAGGAAGCAGCACGGTGGGTTCAAACCCTAGCTTTTTGGTTAGCAGTCAGGAGTGACCCAGCAGCTGTAATAATAGATGGAGACATTGCTTCTTCTGTGTCTCCCTTGCCCCTGCCAATGCACGAGACACAAAGAGAGCCCATCATGGTGGGGGATCCCAGTGTCCCTGCTATCTGTCCAGTGTGGCTCCAGAAGTCTTAGTGAGAAGTGGACTGCCTGCCAACCCTCCAGTCCACCAGAGGGCCCCACAGCCTGCGTGGGCTTCCCGTGGCTCATTCCCGTGTGCCGTCCAGGCTTTCCACAGTGACCCCTTGTGACACAGATGTAGTTTCCAAGGCTGTCTCCCCTATGAGCAGATGGCTGGGGCTGTGTCCTCCAGGGCTGCTGCTGGGGGGCTCCCAACATCTGGTGGCTACCAGTGGGGTGCTTTAGCCACCATACCAACCAGGGCTTCTTACAATCTTTTGGTTAGTTGTTTTTTTTTTCCAAATATTTTTGTTTTGTTTTCCAGATTTTTATGCTGAACATTGCATTGCTTATTTTTGCTTCTGAATAGATACTGTACTTTTTCTAATAGTGTGATTATTCTGTAAGATAAGTTGATATGGTCGGGTGCCACCAAGTTGATCCCATCTGCTAGAAACCCACCATGTAGGATAGAGAAGAATGGCCAACAGGTCTCCTAAACTGTGGTATTCACGACAGACTGCCTCATCCCATGGGGCAGCGGCTGATGAGTTTGAATAATCTACCTTTCCATTGAACCACTTGCCGTCGAGGCTCCTTCCATAAAGGTTGTTGTTGTTGTCCTGTCGAGTTGGACCTGACTCATAGCTGACCCAATGAGGCTGTAAGTTGTGCAGGAAGAGATTGCATCTTCCGCAGCAGAGCAGGTGATGGATCCACACACAGTACAATCCAGTCCTGTGGGGCGGTTCCCTACAGCACAGGGCCTATATGAGTTGACACTGACATGCAGCACCCACCAGCCAGAGTGTACAGCACACAGTTGGCTCCTGGTAAGTGTTTCTGAATCCTTGTCACCCCACACCACCTGTGCTGTCGTGTGGATCATGACTCTTGATCCTCAACTGGTTTCTGAGGCTGTAAATCGTTATAGGAGGACACTGCCCATCTTTATCTCACAGAGTGACTGGTGGATTCGAACTGTTAGTCTTTTGGTTAGCAGCCAGTGCCTTATACACTAGGCTGCCAGGGTAGTAGTAACCAGTAGTAAATTTGTACGTAGTTGCACTGCTAATCCAAAGGTCACACCTCTCTGGTGGTACAAATTTATCAGCAGGTCCACGGGCAAAAGATGGTCAGTTAATCTCCTCCCGTGTGATTTAAAAAACTGATGGAGGGTCAGCTATGCATCAGAACCAACTTGATGGCAATGAGTGAGTGAGTGCTGTTAAGAGGAGTCCTGGTGGCACAGTGGTTAAGTGCTTTGCCGCTAACCAAAAGGTCAGCAGTTTGTACCCACTGATGGGAGAAAGACAGGGCAGTCTGCATCTGTGCAGAGGGCAGCCTTGGAGACCCTACAGGGTAGTTCTACCCCAACCTACAGGATCACTGTGAGGTGGAATTGACCCAATGACAGGGGGTCAAGTCACTTCCTTCATGGCAGCTTCAGAAACCACTATTGGAGAGAAGTGAGGTGAGCCACCCCTTTGCCCAGACCCCCTGCTCCTGTGGCAGTCACTGTTGGCTGCGGTATTCATCAGCAGCATTGCTGCTATCCTGCCATCAGCTGACTCCTGAGTCGCCAGGCTGAGCCAGACCCTGAGCCTGACATAAAGGCTTCAGCCCCAGAGGAAAACCAGGGCCCCTCCTGCCTGCACTCAGCAGTGCAGCTCCGGCCCTGTGCATCTGCCAACCAGGCAGCAAAGCCACAGCTTGTTAGTCTGAATCCATCTTGGGCGCCTAAGGAGTTTGTTGTGATTTGGGGATTGTGTGTGTGTGTGTGTGTATACTGTCATTTTCTTTTTCATCCTCTTTCATTTCCCCCTCCCTTGTGATCTGAACAAAATGTTTACAAAACAATGGTTACATAACATTTTGTTTACAGAACAAAATGGTTTTCCATTCATCCATTCAGACACATTTTGTTTCATGACCTCACTACGTAACTGCATACTTCCTACTTCCTCCCTGTGATTCTCTTTTTCATTAACCGATTCCCCTTACCCCTGCCTTCTGGGATTTGTGCTTAGGCAAATGCTGCCCTTTAACTCTTACATGGTTGCTATTTCTAAGTAGTGAGTGCAGCCCTGGTGTGGGCCTGTCTATTGTGTGGCTGAAAGCTGTCACAGAGGTGAGTTTTGTTCTAAGTTTTTGAAGGCTGACTAAGGATAATGGTCTCCACAGTCTCTAGTGAACCAGTCAGTTTGGCCTTCTTGATGTTTTTCATTTTCTTTTGTTTTCCTCCACTTTGCCCAGTATCTCCTCCTGCCAGCATGGTAGCTACCACCATCTCATCCCTCTGGTCTCGGGGCCATGGAGGTGGATGTTCACATGACCCATTAGACCCTGGGACTGAGTCTTTCTCTGTGGCTAGGCTTTGCTTCCTTCTGTGTTCCAGACAGGGAGAGACCAGGTCCAGGGAGCAAGACTCACTGACGTTTAAGACTTCAGATGGTTCCTGCTTTTCAGTGGAAGGAAGGAACTAGTGGATGTGCTTCCTTTGGTAGCACTGAGGTTGCACAGGGTCACGTAGAGATGCTGTTGGTTTTATGTGCTCCTCCTGGGATGTGACTGTGGCCTTGAGGTGGTCGTAAGAGCGGGGGGAAGCCAGCGTGTCCAACAGGCCATGATTGGCACTCATCAGCTCCCTCCGACATAATCTCCCGTGAGCAGTTCTATTGACTCATTGCCAACAGAATTCATATTAAATCACGTGCATGCAATCACCCACTGACAAGTGTGCTGACTTACCACTTAATGGCACTGTGGGGTTCTTATTTCCTTGAAGTGAAGTGGAAATGAATGAGAAGAAGATAGACACAGGGAGGGAGAAGACAACCCTGCTCAGAAGGTTTCCCAGAAAGACTTTCGCCTGATGGAGGAGAGGAAAGTTAACAAGTTACACAGGGCCTGACATGCACACTTCACCCCAACGGCAAAGTGCACACCATTGCCCCCAGCCAATTTGGGTGACCCTGTGAACGTCAAGAACTGGGCTCCACAGGGCATTCAGTGGCTGCAGTTTGGAAGGAGGTTGCCAGGCTTTTCTTCTGAGGTATCACTAGCCTTTCAGTTAGCAGTCAAGCATAGAACCACTCACTTCTTTCTGAGGGCAGGGGGGAGTCAGATGAGAGAGGATGAATCGAGTCTGCAGTCTAGGGTTGAAAAGCAGGATACTCGTCCCAGAAGGAGTCTGAAGTGGCTTGGGCTAGGGTAGAGGGGGTGGGATTGAGAAAAGTTCGTGGGTGGAGGGATACCAACACCCATGGCTGCTGAGTCTGACTCCCTTGGAGTCTACAGGGTGGAGTAGGACCCCATCAGGTCAAACTCAAACTCACTGCCGTCGAGTCAGAACCGACACAGAGCTGACCCTCCATGGGTTTCTGAGGCTGTAAATGACACAGGAAGAGACTGCCCATCTTACTCCCTTGAATCAGCTGATGGATTCACTGCCAACGAGACACCCCTTTGGGTTAGCAGCATGACTCCCTACAGACCACACCACCATAAAGTAATAAAAAGATTTAAAGGAAAGGCAGTCCTGCCGAGCGCAATTCTACTCCGCCACACAGGAGTCACCCAGTGACAGTTTATAGAGCAAATTGGTGTTCCGTTCAGCCTTTTCCACGCATCTTGTTATGTGATGTTGATCGCAGCCGTGGTAGTGGAACAGCACTCCTCCCACTCCTTCCCTGTGACTCTCATTTCCATCTGCCCTTTTGATCCCTTTCTGACTTCTAAGCTTTCTCCCTGCACAGAAGTGGCTCTTTTGATCTCATCTGAGTGGCTGTTTAAAAGAATGTTCCTCTTTGGTGTCACAGATTACCTAAGAGGCTTGTCTACAGTTTGGCCAAAGTGGAGCCATGGGAGTGGCTGATCATGGTCCACTTGAAGTGACTGAACTGGATTTGTCATGTTGTTGCTTCCAGGACCAAGTGGACACACTGACCTTCCAGAGCCAGTCTCTCCGGGACAGGGCCCGGCGCTTTGAGGAGGCACTGAGGAAGAACACGGAGGAGCAGCTGGAGGTAATATGGCTGTGTGTCCCATGTGTTTAATGTCACCTCCATGGAGCCGCCTGGCTTCCTGAATTCCCCAGAGTAGTTCTCCCTGCTGATCTGATACAGAAATGACAGCTGCTTACAACCTCCAGGGTTTTCAGACAAAGCCATGTGGGCACCATGGAGAGCTGTGGACTCCTCCAACCCACAGTTCTCTCCACAATTCACCCCTCCCCGACAGTAAAGCGCCCTAGTGACTTAGTGCCTGAGGGCTCAACTGCAAAGAATTGGTACTTCGAACCCACCTAACAGCTCCACTGCAGAAAGACCTGGCCTGTGGTTTTTTATTTGGTTAATTGGGTGACTCTGAAGGGCCCTTTTCTACAATGGATCTCTTCCTCTCTAAACCTCTGCCCCTGCCTGCCAGGCACAGAGCCTCGCCATAGCAGCTGGGACCCAGGGGACCCTGCCCACTGAGTAACGGGTAAAGGCCGACATCATGTTTTCTCCTCTCCTTCATGGGTTTCCTTTTAGGGCTGGTCTGGTTATGCCAGCAGTCCCAGCACCCCAGTCTTTCTGGGGTGATAGCTCCGCCCACCCCTCCACAGAGTTGGGTCTTACCAGCCTGCCCAGTGGGAGGGAGAAGCATTTCTACAGGGAGGTCCTGCCAGGGTGGCGACATCTTCCTAGGGAGGTCCTCTGTCCATCCCTGTCCTCCCGCTCTCCTTCCCTGACCCTGGTGCTCCCTCTCCCCCTTTCACTCTCTCATCCTCTTTGTCCCCTGTCTCACTCTTCCCTCTCCTCGCTCACTCACTTTCCGCCTCTTTTTACCTCCCCATCTCTCTCCCTTCTCCCTTTCATTCTTTGTCAATTTTGTCTCTCTGCCCCCACCCTGACTTTCTCTCTCATTCACCCTCTTTGTTTCCTCTTCTCCCGTTCTCTGTCTCCCTCACTCCTTCCCTCTCTCAGTCTTGTTCTTCCTCACTCACTCTTCTCTCTCTTCTTTCTCTTTTATTTTCTTCCCTCATGTTCTTACTCTCTCATCATTGCTTGCTCTCTCTCGTTTTCTCTCTCATCTCTCTCTGGTTCTCCCTTCTCTCTCTCTCTCTCCCTCCTTCCCTCTCTTGCTCTTTAATTGTCTCCCTTCTCTCTCCTCTCCTCATTCTGGCTCTCACTTGTTCTGCTCTCTCCCTCCTTCTCTCTCTCCCTCCCTCTTCTTCCCCCCTCCACACACACTCTGTTGTCTTTCCTTCTCCTCCTCACTATCAGGCCGCCTGTGGGCTGACCGTCCATGGGCTTGCTGACCAGCCGTCGGTGGGCTGACCGGCCGTCTGTGGGAGGGCTGACCAGCCGTCTGTCGGAGGGCTGACCGGCCGTCTGTGGGCTGACCGGCCATCTGTGGGGCTGACCGGCCATCTGGAGAGGGCTGACCGGCCATCTGTGGGAGGACTGACAGGCACAGGCTGCAGACAGTGACCGTGGAGCTTCCTCACCCTCTTGCCTTCTGCCCTGCAGGTTGCCCTGGCTCCCTACCAGCACCTGGAGGAGGATATGAACAGTCTGAAGCAGGTGCTGGAGATGAAGAACCAGCAGATTCACCAGCAGGAGAAGAAGATCTTGGAGCTGGAAAAGCTGGTGAGTGGTGTGTCTGCAGAGAGTCCGGGGACTTGTACAGCCGGGTCTCCTAATACAAAACCCAAAGTGAACAAACCAAACCCTTCCTCACTGAGTTGATTCTAACTCAGACCAATCCTACAGATCCAAGGTAAACTGGCCGCAGGGGGCTAAGGCAGTAATCTTCACAGAGGCAGACTGCTTCCTCTTTCTACTTCAGAGTCGACGGCTGGTTCAAATAACCAACTTTTCTGTAAGCAGCTGGGTGTTTTAAAAACTGTGCTACTCAAACCAAAACATATTGCTGTCAATTACAAACCATGGTTTTATAGGAGGAGACTGACCATCTTTCTCCCCTGTACCACCTGGTAGATTAGAACCACTAACCTTTGGGTTGGCAGCCCAACTCCTAAAGCACTGTGCTACCAGGGCTCCTTATACATGCTGCCCACTATACCTGTTGTCTATATTACGTATGTAACACGCACCTTCCACATTTGTTTGCCAAGTACTTCTCTCCTCAGGAGATATTTTCTATTTTCTATATATGCTGTTACAACATTTTTTTCACATGTTGCTGTTAAGAAGTTAGTGTAGTGTGTTACTTCCTGGGCAAAGGGACCAGATGGCAAACGTATGTAAGGTGCATGTTATTTACGTAAAATGCACTCTACAGAAGTGTATCTGTTGAGCAGTTTTATTTAGTGATGCTTTTACTATGTACAGTGAGTTTTGGTATCTTCTGTCTTATTTTGTGTAACAAAGAAATGCCAGTCACGTCTCTCTAAAGTGACCTTAACAGCCCACGAATGGACTGTAAACTGCTGTGAATGAAACACTGCTGTTGGCCGGCTGGTGAAGCCTTTAGGAAAGGCCGCAAGTTCCTGCTGATCTGTGGCGGTGCCGACACCCCCTAAACACTGCTTCCTCTGTAGGCAGAAAAGAACATTCTCCTGGAGGAAAAGATCCAAGTGCTCCAGCAACAGAACGAAGACCTCAAAGCCAGGATCGACCAGAACACCGTCGTGACGAGGTAGGTGGGCCTGCGTGTCCATGCTGAGAGATAGCAGCGCAGGGTCACCTGCAGATGGCGTTACCTGTGGACGTCTTCCAGGGCTCTGTGCTGCCCCACAGCCCAGGCCCCCTTCCCTCTGAGCAGAGAGGCTCACACCCACTGACTCTTGGTCCAAATGAGTGTTGTTGTTGGGTGCCATCAAGTATGCCCTTATTCAGAACCACCTCGAATACAACAAAACCACACCCAGCACCCCCTGCTCCATCCTCACAGTCTCTGCGGTCCTTGTGTCCACTCTTGGAGCCTCTGTGTGAGCCCATCTCACTGAGGGTCTCCCTCTTTTTTGCTGACCTACTTTTCCAAGCACAAGGTCCTTCTCCATGGACTGGCCCTTCCTCACAATAAGCCCAAAGTACGTGAGATGAAGCCTCATCACCCTCAATCTTAGGAGCCCTCTGACTGCACTTCCGCTGGGACAGCAGTTTGTTCTCGTGGTTCATGGGATATTCAGTCCTCTTCTCCAGCACCTCAACTCAGAGACGTAAATAAATGTTCCTTTGGTCTTCCTTGTTCAGTAAGCGGCTTTCACATGCTTGTGTGAGTGATGGCCGCAGTGAATATGACAAGGATACTACATCACTTCACCTTATTACCTTTGCCTTTATCAGTGGATCCTAAACCAGGAAACCATGCCCATCACCACCCAGTTGACCCCCGCTCATAGAAGCCTGACAGGACAGAGTGGAGCTGCCCCAGCGGGTTTCCACCGGGTCTTCTTGTTGTTAGGTGCTACCAAGCCAGCTGACTCACAGCAATCCTACCTTCAACAGGACACACAGCCCCACAGTTACCACTACATTAGAGTCTGTTGCATCATGGAGAAATGTAAGAAACCAGTAAACACGTGTAGCAAGGAACTGCCATGCTGGGAAGTGTGGATTCGTTCCTGGAGGAGTCTGAGCCCTTGGGTTTGAGAATGTCCCCAGAAGCTTACCAAGCACCAGCCACCTGCCCGGGCTCCCTTGGTCCCTCAGTGTCTTCTGGGTCAGCTGCAGGAGCCCAGGCAGGGGAGACCCAACCACAGGGCACTGTGTGGAGCGGAGCCCAACCATGGGAAGGTGGGTGGAATGGAGCACAGCCACGGGACAGAGGTTTGTGGCTGAACCCCGCAGGCCCTCGGTGGTGTTGTCTGTGTGAATAGTGGCCCCTAAATCTGATTTCCAGATTGTGAGGCTAACGCATGTTCCACCTTCCCACTCCATCATCCCGCCAGCAGCCTCCCACGTGGCAGTTTTTCTCTCTGACTCCAACTCCCCAGAGCAGGCCCTTCACAGCAGGCGTGCTATTCCTCCAGCCGATGTCCAATAGGACAACACCGCTTGCCACTGCCTCTGGTGGGCTCGAGAATTCTCTGGAATGACTTCTAGGATGGCTCACAGAGCTCAGGTACACTTTCTATACTTATCCAGGCCCAGCTCCCTGCCCTAAGTCAGGTCTGACCCTGGAGGACAGTAGAACCTCCCCACAGGGTGTCCAGGGCTCCACATCTTCATGGAAGCAGGTTGCTGCGTTCTTCTCCCATAAAGTGGCTAGTAGCTTCAAACCATCGACCTTCTGATTAGCAGCCTAAGGCTCGACCTGAAGTGCCACCAGAGAGATGATACACAGTCGTCGGGTCCATCCTGACTCATTTGTAACCCTCCGTCAAGTTCCCAAAACTGTAGGTCTGAACAGGAGTTAACTGTGTCATGTCTCTCCCTCTGAGAAGCTGGTAGGTTTGAACCATTGACTTTCTGGTTAGCAGCCCAGTGCTTAATCTACTATCCCATTAGGTGTCCACATAGTTATCCATTTATTTTAACCAGAAAGGATTCGAGTAAAGAGATGCATCGGGCAAGGTCTGGAAGAGTTCCTGTTTGGGCTTCTCTCTTGTCCCAGGAGTGTGTCAGGGTCTCCCATTCAAGGGTGTCCTTATTGATGTCTCAAGAGAGAGCTCCAAGACCTAAGCTCTCTGGGTCAGCAGGACCTTAGTGAATACGATGGGAAGCATTGACGCACTGTTATGATCGATGCAATCAGTGCACGAGAATGAAGCCTCCTCTGTCCTGAGTCCCGCTGCCAGGGAGGAGGTGGTTTGTGGAGCCTCAACTTATTTGCCCTTGTTTAAGTTTGACTTCACTGTTTTAAAAAGACTAAGCAAATGTGAAGCCAACCCAGCCCACTGCATTTCATCAATTCCAACTCCTGGCATCCAAGAAGGACAGAGGAGAACTGCCCATCGTGATTCCAAGGCTGTAGTCTCTGTGGGAGCCCACTGCCTCAACTTTCTCCCATAGAGCAACTGGTGGACTCGAACTGCTGACCTCTTGGTTTGCAGTCAAATGCTTAACACTACCAAGACTCCTAAGGGCTTTAGGACAGAGGACATAAAGGCATCAATGTTTCCAGGCTGGACTGAGAATTCATAGCCCTTGCAACAGAGGCAGGGGGTCACCATGGTGGGAGCAGGAGTCAGGGACAGGCATCCTTGAGGAGGATTGGGTGGTCAGAGGGGTCTCCTGCCATGATCTCCCATGTGCTGTTATTATTGCTGGTGGCTGGCCATGCACGCATACGTACGTGCCTCCATGCTGCCCTCTGGGTCACCCCTCCGACTGCCCCTTCCCATCACCCCTCCACTGTCTCTTATCACTGCTGCTTCTCCTCTTCCACCACTCCTTTTCCTCTGCCCTGGGGCAGCATCACAGAATCCCCTAAACAAAAGTGAAAGACATTTATTGGGAGATAGAGACGGTAAGAAAGTGATAAAGGCCTCTGGCTGGAGACACATTACTTAGAGTTGCAGAAGGAAATGAACGTTAAAACAGTCACAAATGGCTGAAGACCATCAGGCAACATTGACTCCAAGGCAGGATTCTGAGACTTGAGAATTTGTTAGGTTTCTGTGCCTAGCGTGTGGATGGCATTACATGATTGGCTAAAGGTATATGCCTTTCTGTCCATTACAAGATGATCTCAGGGCACTGCCAGGTCAGGTTTCTTTGGGAACGTATTAGCAAAATTGCTTCCTCAATCATGTCTGTTGCTGGCGTCCATGGCAAAGATTGATCAATAATGCTGTGTACCACGACCCCTCGGGCACACGCTCTCACATCTCACATGTCTGACTAGAGTGGGAACATCCTCTGGGAATAGATTGTGATATCCTACACCTGCCAGACCTTGGAGCAAAGACACTTACATGGCAGGTCAGCATCAAGGTTACAGGAACTGCTGTTAGGCAAAGAAAGGCAGGTTTAAAATCCAGCATGGATTCCAGGCTCATGGTAGGGAGTTAGGCTCAGTTTTCAGACTCTCCCGGGAGCATAATGATGCTTCCCCTTCCATGGGCAGAGGGTGTGAGTCATCCAGATTTGAGAGGAGAGGAATGGAGATAGTGGGACCTAGAGAAATCATGTCTCCTCTGAGGTTCTTCATTGCTAAGACTCTGACTTCCCTGCATCCGCCGCCCCCTTTGCCCTGCCAATCAATCTCTCAAGTTCATGACCGCCATCTGATGGTGTGTCTTCCTCCCCTTGCAGACAGCTGTCAGAGGAAAATGCGAATCTCCAGGAATACGTGGAGAAAGAAACCCAGGAAAAGAAGAGGCTAAGCCGAACCAACGAAGAGCTGCTTTGGAAACTGCAGACGGGGGACCCAACCAGCCCGGTCAAACTCTCCCCCACGTCCCCCATTTACCGCTGCTCGTCCTCAGGCCCGCCTTCTCCGGCCAGAGTCAGCACCACGCCCAGATGACCCAGCCTTGCAGCCTGCAGTGCCCGGCCCGCTGCTCCCGCTGAGCGCTTCCACCCAAGGGAGAATTAGCTGAGGGTCCTGCACGCGTGCCGCGTGTCCCACGAGAGCCCATTTCCGATTTCCGGGGACGTCTGTCTTGGTGTTGGCAGGTGTCCTGCAGATATGTAACCATTACAGCCAAAAGAAAGACAATGCCAACAACTACTTGCTGTAGCAAAGAACTTCCAATACAGAATTTCAGGTTAGTTACAAGTAATAACTCCCTTTTGAATCTACCTGGGCCAATTCGTGTCCACGGCACCAGGATGTGTGTATATTTAGATATATTTGGGTACACATACAGCCATTCTGAATTGCAAATTTTTTTTATAACAAGAAGTGCTGACATATTTTAGTGACGGTCAGCCGTTTTTCTAACTCGTGCCTCAGAATCATTTGGGAAATTAAAATGCATTTCTAAGCTTCCCAGGAATATTTCTACCCAAACTAGAAAAAGAAAAAAAAAATACAGAGGGGGAAAAAGAAAAAAAAAAAGCGCCTTGCAACCTACCTACCACCACGTGGGACTCCGTTGAACACGTACACCAGCGATTTGTGACAGCTAACTGCCTTTGAAACAGTCAGCTTCGTGAACAAGAAGGTCACTCTTCTTCCATTTGCAAGTTTTAATTACAAATGTCCCCTCCCTGAGTGGAGACCCCTGAGGGTTCAGCCCCTCAGCAGACATGTCTACGGCGGTGACCCATCTGTAGTCTCTTAAATCACAAATTTTGCTTTTCTCCTCGATGGCATCTTGGAAATCAATCATGGACCTGCCACCAGTTCGAGAAACACGTGGACTGTCATGACCTTCTGGGTGAGGGTGGGAATGACCTTGGCCATGGCCAGGGTCCTCCGTGCCCCTTCCTTGGGTCACTGGGTCCGTATTTGGACGTGGCACAGAGTAGTATTCTCCAAGTGCCCCACTTGGTGGGCTCTGATGCAACATTGTCAGTGGTCAGTCTCTGAAATAGGACCCTCGGTCAGGCCCCCATTTCATCAGTAGCCCCCCATTAGTTTGGTTCTATAACTCAGCTTTAGTGTACATGGAGGAGGCTCTGGGGCCTCTGCAGGGAAGATCAACTCCTTGGTCCGAGGGCAACGAGTTCTAAGCTCCAGATCATCACACGACACCCCAGGAGCCAAGATAACCGAGCAGCACTCCCACCCATGTGCGGGTCCCCACCTTGGGCTCAAGGGGAGTCTCCCAAACAGGGGAGCCCAGTGAAGCAGCCAGCCTGACTGGCCCCCCCGTCTCTGAATCGGTAGCTTAGAGTGTGAAGGTGTTTGCATAGTGCTATGCCAGATTAGAAGCATGATACGCACAAGACAGACATAGTGTTAACAGTCGGTGTGATGGTGATGATGCCTTTGTTTCCTGTGTGACAAAGACCCTGCACTTTTCTTCCCCCTAAGACTCCCCCACAGTGTTCTCAGCACACCCTGTCTGAGCATGCCCCAGGTGAGGCAAGGCCTGTGCAGGAAACCTGCCTGGCCAACATCAGGAGGCAGGGAGAAGGTCGTTCCCTGGAGGAAACGTAACTTGTGGCACACACACCATCCTTCCAGAGCCTGGTGGTGTGTTCCAGGCATGCTTCAAAACCTCAGGGACACCCCGCCCACTTCTGGAAAAAGTCCCAAGGGTCCTCCACCCAGTTGGCGGCACGTGGAGGACAGCCACTGGTTTGTTCTTGAGGTTTGCTGCGGGGTGCTGACCTCGAGGTGGGTGTTCTCATAGGGTAGAGTACCCCATCCACCAGCCCTGTGGCCACACGTATTTATTTATTCCCTCACCTACACCACCTGCAGGCCCCCGCCCAGCCACAGCCCAGCTCTGCAGGAGCCCCTCCAGGACCACAGAGGGCAGTGACACAGCAGTGCAGACCCTGTGTTAGTGAGGACATGTCACGCTAGGTGGAGACAGGAAGTGTGGTTGCCGTGCCAAGTCCTCTCCACGTGGACTCGAGCTTTGCCCTAAGCAGGGGCTGTGCTTCCGCATCGCCCTGGCCGCATTTTCTCATCATGGAATCTCTTCATTGGTGCCTCCGATGGAAACCATCTCCTCTCCCAGGACAGGTGTGTGTGGGGACAGGCAACTGCTGCACCCCTCCTGCCGGCCCCCAGCCGGAGGACTGGGACCTCTCAACAACAGAGAAGTTGTCTTCTTCCTCCCAGGTGTCCACCGACAGATGCTGCAGCCCTGCCTGCCTCGGCCAAAGCAACCGCACAACGCCATCTCCTCTCACGGGGAGACGTGTCTGCACCCCGTGCGCTGGGGACTAGGCTCCGGGTGGGTGCAGGGTGGGCTGGGGTGGGGGTGCCAGGCAGACACCTCGTTACTAACTCAATGATGTCACAACACTCCTCTCCCTGTCCTCCACATTCTGTGTTGCATATTTGTGTTCAATTACTCTAAAGCATATTAAAACTAACTTGAGAAAATAGTGGTGGTATGTTTGCTAGAACTGGACACCTGTCCCTCGCAGACCCCGTCCCTAACTCAGCTGTTTGATCCAAGGTCATTCACCCACATCTCCAGCACCCTACCCTATCCCATCACCCCTCCCCGGCAGCCCCAGCACCTCCCCAGCACCCCATCCGACTACAGCCCTAGACTTTGGAGAGCCTAGTCCAGTAGGTGGGGGTGGTGTGGGGTCTGTGGGGAAAAACACAGAAGATTGAGGTTCATTCCCATCACCATTTATTTCCAACTCAGCCCTAGGTCTGCTCCAAACTTTAGTCCATCTTTTCTCAACCAGGGAACCTTGGTGAAGCAATGGATAAGCACTTGGCCTATTAACCATAACCTCGGTGGCAAAAGAGTCTTGGTGTCACAGTGGTTCAGTTGCTAACTGAAAGGCCATTTAAATCTACCAGCCACTCCCCAGGAGGAAGACAAGGCAGTATGCTTCTGTAACGATCGCAGTTTTGAGAAGCCTACTCTATTGGGTTCCCAAGGCTGTAAATCCTTATGAAAGAAAAGTTCCCATCTTGTTCCTATGAAGCTACTTGGTGGATTTGAATCACTGACCATTGTTGGGTGCAGTTCTGCTCTGACACACAAGGGGGCGACAACAACAGGTGTTGACGAGGGTCTAGACTCAGTTCTGCTTTCGCCCACTAGGTGGCGGCGCTACCCTGCGGGAATCAGGTGCAGCCCACCTGGTGGACACTCAAGAACCAGCAGAGGTCGGTTCTGACCAGTCACAAAATGAGCCAGGAACGCCCTGGGCTTACCCCTGAGCCCACCGCCCACACCACACCTGGTACCTGGGGGCTGTCTGCACCTGTGCCGCCTCAGACACACCACAGATCCTGCTGCCCAAGCCTGGCCCACCATTTGGTTTGAGTGGAATTTTTTGAGCTCGAATGCACAGCTCCTTGGAACATTTAAAAAAAAAAATCTTTTTTGGTTTATGTGTACTGTCAAATCGAATCTCACTGGTACAGGAGATTGTCCCTCCTCCGGCAGAGCATGTGGTGAATTTGAACCACAAACCTCTGGGATTGCCGTGCAGCTTCTTGCCACTAGGCCACTAGAGCTTCCTAGAACATATTCTTGATCATGGACAGGCTGGAAGGTTTAACACCGGGAGCCCTGGTGGCGCAGGGATTAAGAGCTCATCTTATGACCTCAAGATTGACGGTTCAAACCCTCCAGCTGCACCCTAAGGCAGAGATGAAGCCGTCTTTTCCAGGGGAGCTGACAGCTTTGGAAGCCCTATGAGGCAGCTGTACTTTGTTCTGCAGGGTCAAGTCCAAGGTGACCAGACAGCACCTGACAACAGTGTGAGGGAGTTGTTTCCTCAGCGCAGGTTCCTAAAAGCAGAGTTGGTGCATCAAAACAGAAGGGGGCCAGGAAAGCCTGCTTGGGACCTGTGACCCCAAGGGACTCGTCTATGGAGAAAAAAGTCAAGTAGAGAGTCACTGAAAAGCAGGAAGACCCTCTGTGAGATGGACAGACACACTGACTGCCAACAGTGGTCTGGAGCCCCGCAGCCGCTGTGAGGATGATGCAGGACCTCGCAGGGTGTGGTTCTGTGAACGAGATCCGACAGGATGGCGCGCGTGTGTGTGTGTGTGTGTGCACGCGCAGTGGCTAAAACACTCAGCTGTTGACCAAAAAGCCTGGCAGATGACCTGGACACCTGTGTCCTGCGGCATTACTATTAATTGAGTTGACAGCCCCCAGAGAGGAAGCTGGGGCCCCAGACAGGCACAGTAATAAGATGACCGTGCACGCTGGGTGAAGCAATGGACATAATTTATTAGAATCTGGAGAAGCATGAGATAATGTACCACAAAACTGTCGGGTTTTACAAGAGGCAGGCCGGAAGCCATTGATATACAGTGTCGGTGCGAAGGGGCGAGGGCCGCGTTTCACATTTGTTTTCAAGGTGGTGGGCAGCCCCTCAACCTGCCCTCTGCGGAGAGAACAACATGGAAACAGGAGGGGCCCACGGAGACCAAGCTGACTGCCGTTTAAACCTAGCATCACAATGATAGGAAAACTATACAAAACAACCTAGTAGAAAAATAGAACGTCAAAAGAGCAAAAAAATATACAATTTACATAATAAAATCTGACCCCCACACAGCTGTTTGAATAATGGCTCCATGTCCAGCAGACGAGAAGTTGGAGGAACAAACCACAGCTGTTAGTGCTAGGAGGAGATCACCCTTCACTCGTGGGTGACCTACCCTGTGCCTCACACAGCCACCAAGAAAGGCACACCGAAGCAGGGAACTGTCACTTGATACACACATACACACCACACACACTCCCCCACTCCCACCCCTCCTGTCCACTCATGGGGACCCTCTGATGAGTTTCTGAGGCTGTGGGAAGAAAATGCCCACCTCCCTCAGAGGGCCTGGTGTGTTTGAACTGCCAACCTTTCAGCTGCCAGGCCCACAGGCATGACACTATGACACCAGGCTCCCTACTTACATAGATAGGTTTGCGTGTATATATCCCACTGTTGACTTGGTTCCCGCTCAATCACCCTGTAGGGCAGAGTGGAGCCGCCTGCTAGGATTTCCAGGCTGCCATCTTTTACAGAAGCAGGCTGCCACATCTTTGTTCTGTGAATTAGAATCACTGGCCTTTCTGTCAGCAATCAAGTTCTTAACCACTACATTACCAGGACTCCTTGAATATTTTCATCTGTGTGCGTGCACATGCATAAATACATACACATAGATACATGTGCATATATATGCCTGTGTGCGTGTATATATCTGTAAATATATATATATATATATATGCATGTTTAGTAACTTCTCAAATGGGAAAATAAGCCCCCAAAAAGTATTTGTCATCAAAGAAGCACAAAGTCAGAGACCTTGCTAATGTGTGAGCATATATATAAATACACATGCATATACATTGATATATACATACACACATAGATGCATACATATATACATACACACATTTATATACATATGTAAATACACTCACACACGTCTCAAGTGGGAAGGTAAACCTCAAACTCAAAGGGAAGTCAGACAGCTTATGAATAAATAAACTGAGTTTGGCCCTGCTTTCTGCCCCAAGACGATGGCTTTGGGCTCTGCTCCTCTGCGGCCCAGCTGTGGTGACCCATCCATCGTGCCTTCTGTGTATAGGGACTTCTGTAGAGACTCAGGAGGGCTCCATGACCGATTACCCCAAATCTCTCAGCCAAGCCGTTTCCCTCTTGCTTTCCTACAGTGAGGCGAGGACACAGGAGCTGGCCGGGGGACAGATAGCAGGTGGCAGGTGACCTCTGAAGCCCTGAGCATCCTCCTCCCCCTGAATCTGAAAGGCAGCCTGGTGCTGGGTGGACCCCCGTGGCCTCTCTGACAGTCCCAGCTCCCACCCTATACTCAGAGCCCTGGCCTCCTGTGCTTCACCCAGGGCTGGGACCTGTCTCTCCACATCCCCTGCCCTGGAGTGTGGCCACATCGCCCTGGTGGACTATGTGTGGTTGGGGGGGGGGGGAAGCTATGGTAAGGAAGAGTCTGCCAGACTTCTCAGGTTTGGCCTTCTCTACCTGGAAGGAGCCAACCCCAGTAACCACACACCTCACTCTTGCCGTCACTCTGGGGGTGCCCTGCTCTAAACTGGAGGCCCCTCCCTGCTGAGCCCGTGGCCACTCCTGACTAGAATGTTAAGGCTTCGAGGTGAAGAAAGGAGAGACCATACTGTCCCCACATTCTCGGGGAGATGTTTAAGTGGAAGGCACCCGCTCTGTCCAATCAGAAAGGGTACAGGCCATCGCCCACCTATCCTGTGGGGTCCTGCCCTGCCCTGGAATCCCAGCCAGAAAGAAGAGACAGCCCAGACACAGCCACCACTGAACGCTTCCCGCTGCCGCCTGCCTCACACAGGAATGACCCTCCTCCCCCAGCTCTCCTGGCCTATGCAGAAAGGACAACAGAGGGGAAAGTAAACAGCTCACAAGTCCCCAAGAAGAACAGAGGCAAGCAGAACCCCCAAATAAAATAAGTTATTATTTATCAAAATATTTTACAGCACCAAGCTACAGAAATTTAAATATCTTTCTTTGGAAATCCAAGCTTTGGGCGTTAGGCATCCTCTCTGGAATGTTCCACAAAGAGAGGGACACTTCCTTCTCTGTCTGCCTCATTCTGATGGACTTTTCCAGAAAGTCCACTGGCCACCTGGTCACGGCTCTCCAGGAGCCTTTTCGGGCAGAGGGGTTGGGGGGAGAGGGGCCACCTATTTAGTGATTTCTTTTTACCCGATCTGGGTCAAAGATCAGCAGAGGCACCGTGGGGCATGGCCTGCATAGTAGCACTGGTGCTTTCTGCACTATCTCACCTGCTGACTGCCATGTCCCCCCACTGGGAAGCCTGTCTCATCTAAAGCGTGTTTTCTGGCATCCATCTATAGGGGTGTGTGATAGTGTCTTACATGCTTGGAGAGGGGGTAATGTCCAAGGAGCTGACTGCTAACTAAAAGATCAGAAGCTGATGCCCGCTTCTGCCGTAATTACGCTTTATGGACTCAGAAACACGCTGGAGGGTCACTGTGGGTGAGCGGACTTGATGGCAGCTGTGGTCTGGGTTGTGAATCTATCTAGTGCAGGGGTCACACTCCGGACAGACTCATAGACTCAACTGGATGAGTAAGGGAGGGTTGAGAGACAAAGCCACCCCCAACACCAGTCTCAAGAGCCTTGCTGGGCCCACAGTGCTGACCACAAGCATCAGAGGACCAGGCTGGGTGAATGGCAAACCCACAGAAAACCAAGCTGTAAGCTCTGCCCATCGGTGGGAGGCCTGTCCCACAGACAAGCCTCCTGTTCCAGTTCTGGGGACACAGCCAACAGGGACATACATAGCCATGGTGACAGCCTGGCCTTCAGGGAAGGGGGGCAGAGGCCGCTGTGCACACACACAGGAGTGGGGAGGGTCAAGGGTATACTTGGAACTCCCCACTCCTCTTCTCAATACTGCTGCGGTTCCCCACCCCCCACCGCCAGCCAACCAGTCAAGGCAGCGTCAAGGCAAAGACTCGCCAGGAGGGGGGCTGACCACCGGGATCACCACCCCGGGGAACAGGCCTGCAGACACTGCTGGTCGCTGCATGGACAGAAGCTGGAATGACAGCAGGCTTGTCCATCTGTCCCCAGCAGTGACTGTGCACTCCAGCTGGGGCCGGTAGGGAGTGGGTAGACTTCCACCCTGGATGCTGGGCCCAGGGTGAGGGCAGAGTGCAGGATCCAAGCCAGGAGGTGGCAGCCCTCCTGCATGGAGCTGTTGAGGACCGGAGGGAGTGGAGTGGCTTTCTTTTCACAGAGGGAGGCGAGGGGACATGATGAGCTGACCACAGCAGAAGTGGCTCTGGTCACGGAGTTGGCAGGAGGTGACGGGGGCCTGGGGAACAGCCCCAGAGCTAGGCCCAGGCGGGGGGGGCACACATGGAGGGTCGAGGCTGTGGTTCAAGTAACTGCCCCTCGGGCTGCGCTAAGGGCTCTCTGCAGGGGGTGGTCACTGTCCTGTGGGCAGAGAGCAGGCGGGCGAGGCCCAGGCCTCCGCTGGGTCCCTGGAGTGGCCGCCCCCCAGGCCGGAGCTGTGCTGTCATTTGCACTGGTCCAGATTGTCGTCGGGAGTCCGAGCCTGGCCCGCGGCCAGAGCTGCCTCCTCACTGTGCCAGAGCCCGTAGCCGAAGTAGATGGCAAAGCCTGGGGGGAGGAGATCAAGGTGAGCAGGACACGCGGGGTGCTGTCCCCCAGGAAGCATGGTGGTTACGATGCAACATGGAAACTGTGCAGTGGTCCCCACACTGACGAGGCCAGCAGTGTGAGGGGATCAGGGTAGGGACCACACTGCTTAACCCCATCCTGGCCCTTATCTGCTGTCAGGGGTGTCCCCCAGGGTGTGGGCCGCAGCACCTTTGTCTCAGGAGAGGTGACAGGAAACATGTGAGCAGAGCAAGGCCCTCCTGGCACTGCCTCTGTGGCCCAACAGGCTGGACAAGGGACAGTCCATATGCTCTCACAGTGACCCAGGGGGCAAAGGTCAGCCCTGGGACATTAGCATTCGAATCCAGACACTAGACAGAAGGAGCTGAGGTCACCCCGGGAGGCCACGCCCACGAAGGGCAGGTGGAGCAGGTCAGTGGCTGAGGGGCTGGTCAGCAGGCTGGAACCCCAGAGGAGGGGGCTGAGCCATGCCCCAGCTGTCCCGAAGGGGTACAGGCAACACACTCGGCTGCTGACAGAAAGGCTGGAGGTTCTAATCTACCCAGAGGCATGGAGAGTGTCCCGGGGGCCCAGTTCGACCCTAACACGCAAGGTCACCCCGTCTACTTGGAGACAGCTCACATGGTTTAAGGCTTCACTCTCTCAGCACCTCCCATGAGCTCCCCAGGGTTTGCTTGTCTAAATCAAAAGTCCCTAAGAGGGAAGCCACAGGACAGCACAGAGGGTAGTTCTGGCCAGGGCCCAGCCACTACTATCCACCTTCCCATTAAATGAGTTCTAGAGGTTCCCTGGAAGACAGGCTGGTGGTCTATTTCCTCACTCCCTGTACTGGAAGTTCGGCAGATCAAGGTCTACTCTGACACCCAGGGTCCCCTGCCCGGAGCAGCTTCCGACTCCCCAACAACACTCTCACGGGGTCTCGCATCCCCTCTAGGGCACATGCAGCCTCGTCTTCCTCCGCAAGGAAGGCTGCGGATTTGGGACTGGTTCACGGTTCAGAAGACGCGGCTGTGCACACTCACCGACCAGCATCCACACGGCGAAGCGCACCCACGTGCCCTGGTCCAGCTGCATCATGAGATAGACGTTGACGAAGATGCTCAGCACCGGGAGGACCGGCAGGAAGGGCACCTGCGAGGAGGGGCGGCAGGTCACCAGGGAGATGGGCGTCACGGGGCAGGTCACCAGGGAGGCGGGCGTCAGGGGGCAGGTCACCAGGGAGGCGGGCGTCACGGGGCAGGTCACCAGGGAGATGGGTGTCACAAGGCAGGTCACCAGGGAGGCGGGCGTCAGGGGGCAGGTCACCAGGGAGGCGGGCGTCAGGGGGCAGGTCACCAGGGAGATGGGCGTCACGGGGCAGGTCACCAGGGAGGTGGGCATCGGTGGGGTCAGGGGTCAGGGGATGGGTTTGGTGTCACACCATGGGGAGAGTGGGCATGTGGGATCACAGGGCAGGCCCACTGCATATAAAGGAGGAGCACACATGGAAAAGGTCATGTAATAGGGAGGATATGAGACAGGATCGAGGGGAGAACACACAGGGCAGGTCATGTGGTGGTAGAGAGGCCGCAGTGGAGGGTCAGTGCTGATCCCTATACTAGACTCCAACTCACACCCCACAACACATTCAGCATGTCAAAACACACATCCCCTTCCCAATGCAAACCCCCTACTCCTCACATACCTGTACAACACCAGTCCCAACATACACACCCTACCCTAACACACACCTGTACCCTAATGCACACCTGTACCCTAACACACACCTGCAGTCCACACAGCACCCCAACACACAGCCTGAACTAACATACACACCTGCATGCACCCCACTCAACACGCAGCACCCCAACACACAGCCTGAACTAACATACACACCTGCATGCACCCCACTCAACACGCAGCACCCCAACACACAGCCTGAACTAACATATACACACCTGCATGCACCCCACTCAACACACAGCACCCCAACACACAGCTGCACTCAAACACATACACACCTGTGCGCACTACACTCAGCATGCAGCACCCCAACCCACATTCCAGCACCCCCACATTCCAACACACAGCATCCCAATACATAGCTAGCAGCACTCTAAAAAGTACACACCCACACCCCACTCAACACAAAGCACCCCAACATACCCTCCAGCACACTTACTTCACCCCAACGCACACCCACACCTCAACGTAGCAAGTAAAGCCTCATATGGAGGCACTTGAGTCTCAGCTATTGGCAGGTGAGTTTAATTCTAACCTCCTTGTCCCCTCTGCTAGTGTCCCCACTGAAGCCCAGGGAGTGGTGGTCGGGTTTCCACGGACTAGGGGGTGGGCAGCTGTATGACCGTGTGGTCAGAGCACAATGACCTAGGCTGGTCCTGGGCACCAGGAGCCCGCCTTGCCCGAGGACCCTCCTCTCTGAGTGTGTGCCCCCCTCCCTGGGCCAGCACGCTCCTCCTGCTCCTCCAGTGTCCAGACCACAAACACAGAGAGCCGCCCATGGCGCCAGGAGACACTCACCTTGAACGACAGTTTGGTCTTGCTCTCAGGCTGCCGCCAGATGATCACAGTGACCACACCGCAGAGGAGAGCTGAGCCCGTGAGCAGGAAGATGGCCCAGAGCCCGCCGGAGGCCAGAGCGTCCTTCCCCAGGACAGCCACGATGCAGAAGGTGATGATGAGAATAGCTGGGGCGGAGAGAGCGAGGCTGGAGGTGACACAACCCGCAGAGCCCACATCTGCCCTAACCCTGGGGCGGGAAGCCCTCGTCCTGACCATCAGCACGGACCGTCACAGCCCAGTGACAAGACAGAGGCTCCCCCCATCCCGCGCCTCCTAGCAATGCTCACAGCAAGACCCCAACACCGTCCCAGCAGAGGGCGGCCGCTTACCTATGAGGCTCGCTGAGATGTTCACCACCAGCCCTGAGATTCTGGAAGGATCTGGGTTTGTTGGCGACAATAAAGATTTCAAAGAAAACTTGGATTCTGGCAGGAAGCCGGTCTGGGAGTCACTGTTGCTCACCAGTTCGTTCCGGTCCACATGGTCTAGCTCATCGGTGGTGTTGGCCATCTGATAGACCATGCTGGGCTGGTCCGGCTGGTAGCTGTGCACAGAGCAATCACGTGATTCCTACTGGCCTCCTGAGTGTTGCTGGTGCCCCACAGGTCCACCCCAATGCCCAGCGGCCCCGTGGGTCAGAACAAACTGCCCAAAGGGTTCCCAAGGCAGGAATCACACGGGAGGGAGCAGATCACGGGGTGTCCTTCCTGTAGGGTCACTGCTTTTATTTCTTTAAGCGCCAGGAAATGAGCCGAAAGAGCTTCAGACATGGGCAGAGGAGCAGGAGGGAGGCGGCCTGAAAGAGCGTGCTCCGGGCAGAGCGGAGGCACACTTCTCCTCCCTCTGCTTTAGGGGAGTGTGTTTCCACTCTGAATCCAGACCAAACTCACAGCTGCCGCTTTGATCCTTACTCATGGTTTCTCCGTCGGTGTCAGAAGCTGTGAGAGGAGGCTGCCCACCTCTCTTCCGTGGAGCTGGTGGGTCTGAACCGCCAACCTCTCAGTTAGCAACCTGACACGTAAAGCACTACGCCAGAGGACGGTCCTCCCACTCTTAACTGGCCCTCCCAAAATGTCCTGAGACTTTTTCTGTTGCTTTGTGAAGTAATAATGGTGGCTCCCAAGTAAGATGAAAGGTATCCAGTCACATTCAAAGGAGCCTTGGCTGCAAAGAGCTAAAATCTAGACAGAAGCTGGAAGTAGTGGCGTTGAGATCTGATCTAGTGCAAAGAGCCAGAGGAATGTGTCCTCGGGCTGAAGATGGGGGAGATTCTATGACTGGATCAGTTTACTGTAAAACTCTAAGCTCTTTGGAGTAAATGACGCGGGATCTGGGCCAAGGGCCTTGTCCCTGCACTCTGTTTCCCAGTGTGAGCCCGCTGCTGGGACAGCATTTGTCTGCAGTGAGGCCTTAGCCCCACTAGACCCACCTCGGGTAAATAGCATGCTTAAACAGCACATGCATTCTCATTTATGTGCGCTGTCACTCCTAAGAGTGGGCATGGGGCTATTTAACCACTGATTCTGTTGTGCGAGATACCTACACTACTTAGTTAATCCGGAAAGGGGAGGACCTCTCTGAAGAGCTCTGGGAAAGGTCTGAATCAGATTAGCTTAGAGTCTCTGGAAAGGAGGGAGAGCCAAAAAATGACAACTGAAATAATAATAATAAAAAACCCAACCCACCAAAAATGCAACTCACTGGCCAAGTGTATTCCAATTAACGGAAAGCCTATGAGACAGAGGGGACTTGACCTGGGGTCTCCGAGGCCAGGGCCTTCACAGAACAGGCTGCCCGGCCTTCCAAGGGGCGGCTGGTGGACTGAAGTTCCTGACCTTTCAGTGAGCAGCCGTACCACTGTGTCACCAGAGCTCCTTGAAAAGGTGTACAGGTCAATAAACACCTTGAAAGTGAGTCTGTATGGTCACCAGTGAGGCTGACCCCAGGTTATATATGAACTAATTAATCATTGGTCCAATCAATTAGGAAAACCAAAGGAGAATTGATGTCCGTCTTTGGATGACAGTGCTGGTCAAAAACACGGAAAACACCATGGATCGTCGGAACAAACTAATCAGTCTTGAAGAAGTGCAACCAGAATGTTGTTGCTTAGAAATAAGGATGCTGAGAATGAGTATCATAAACTGGACATGTGATTAGGAAGGGCCCTTGGAGAAGGACAGCATCCTTGGAAAAGTAGAGGGTCAGAGGAAAGGGGAAAACAGTCAAGGAGGTGGAGGGCCGGGGGCTCGAGCACAGCAGTGACTGTGGAAAGGTACAGGAGAGGGGCAGGTTCCCTTCTGCTGTGGGGATGGTGCCTAACAACAACAGTGGTGGTGACTTTACAAACGGAAGCACTGGCCTTGCAGGGATGAAGAGCTGGAAAGGAATGAGGAGGCTCCCAGCCCCAGCCCCCATGAGCATGCTGATAAACTTGCGGGGCTCAGAGTTCAGGCCTGTATTTGAGGGGAGGGTACTGGGGGAGGCAAGAACACCACCAGGACCCGCCCAACCTACACCCAGAAGCACTTGATCATGGCTGCCCAAGACCACCCCAGGTGCACTTGAACAGCCAACCCTTTGGGTTAGCGGAGTGCGTAGACTGTGTGTACCAAGTCCACAATAGGTGGTGCAACAGGATAGGACACTCCACTGCTCCTCATTTGAATAACGTGAACTGGTTATCTCAAGAAGAGCTTGATATTCGTAACAAGAATAAAAAAACCCCAAACGGGACCGTGCTGAGTATCAGTTCTGGCCGCTCCGTCAGGATACATGGCCAAACTCCATCAGGCTTCTGAGGCTACAAATCTTTACTAGAGGAGACTGCGCATCTTGCTTCCTCAGAGCTGATGGTGGATTTGAACTGCTGACTTTTTGGTCAGTAGCTCCATATTCGAGGCATCACGCACCAGGGCACCTTAAAGCAGCAGGGCAGGCTTTGGAATTTCCCCAGGTCCCCAGGGCCTGTCCCCACTTCCTCTTTCCCATGCTGCATTGTTACCCCTGTAGTGGTTGGGTGCTGGAGTGGGTTCTGACTCACAACAACCACAAACAACAGAGTCCAAGTGTCCCACGAGTCTTCCTAGGCTGTAGTCTTTAAAGAGCTAGATCACCAAGCATTTCTCCGTTGCAGCTGCTGGATGGCTTTGAACCCCTGACCTCTTGGTTAGCAGCTTAATATTTAATCATTGTGGGAAACCCTGGCCCTAGAATCCAGGTTCAACAGAAGGGCTGAGGGCTTATCTCCCAACATCTAGCCAGGAAAATGGTCTCGGGAGGTGGACCTGTCTTCCGTCACCAGCAGACCCCACCTGCTCCCCCAGCAGTTCCCAATGGGTCTACCACTGACCTAAGAGTAACTCCTTACAGATCACTAACTTGAACAGTTCAAGTACTAGCTTTCTGTCATGGAACCCTGGAAACCCACACTTACCGTAAGACCAACACACAGGCAGCCACCAGGGAGTAAGCCAGGAGAGTACCGATAGACATGAGGTCCACCAGGTCCTTCAGGTCAAAGAGGAAGGCCATCACAGCTGGAGAGGAGACAGACATCAGGATGAGAGGACAGCCTTCCACACAGCTGAAAACAACCCCACCCGCCCACCCGTCCAGGACACTGGACAGCCCAACACGCCACAGACTAACACCTGCACACAAAGTACACTCCATATTTCAATCTTTAGAGTCACTGTGTATTTCTCTCTCCAGTCCCGATGGAGAAACCTGATCAAATGGGTTAGGAGATATACCTAAGGTCATGCAATTAGAAAGCGGATGAAGCAGGATCTGAACTAGGTTCTTTTGACGGTAAAACCAACACGTCTTCCTGTTCACCATGGTAACTTGTAGCAAGTATGTGCATCCATCCATACACGTATACCCATCCATCCAGACACACATACCCATCCATCCCAGACATACATACCAATACATACATACCCATCCATCCAGACATGCACCCCCATCCATCCATGAATTCCCTAATTCATCAGTACAGTAACCCATATCCTCCTTATCATTTTCCATTCATCAATCCTTTTACAGCCGTCCATCATGTTCTTTTCATCTGCTCACCATCTTTTCCCCACTCATCCATCAACATCATGATCTACCTGTCCATGAGTCTATCCATCCTTTTATATCCACCCACACTCCTCCCATCTGTTCATTTATCCATCTTGACCTCATCCATCCTCTTCCATCCACCCATCCATCCAGTCCTGATGGACTTGAGGGCAGCCCTCACTAAGGTGCTGAATCTACAAAGAAGGCTCACTTCCCTGAGTCATGAACAGTAGCAGCTAATAGTGACAATGAGGTGAACAATGTGTCTTGAGAAGACTCACAGGGTCTCCTCTGTCACACGGATGGGCCCGGGAAGCAGAGAGGACTCAC